AATTATCAAAACGAAGGTCTGTGTCCAGCATTCTCAATGCTGTTGTGCTATATTGACTAGTGCTTTTGTGTGGGAAAATGTGCTCTCATCTGTGAAAAAGTTTGACAAATCAGTTTGTTTATCTGACTTTGTTACATATTTAACTGTGTATTTGTACATTTCAGCTGATCAGAAGTCAGTTGCTACCTTATTATTGAGACAGAAGCACATTGACTTTACATATTAAGGACAAGCTTTGTGTGATGGTCAAGAATAGTACGTAAGATACTGATTAGATACTGGGAGCTTTAGAACTGAAAATGGCTTTGTGCAAAGACTGAGTGGGAATTGTGTTACATAACTGCTTAAAAATAGAAACTGCATGACAATGACTTCAACAAATTAAAGTTTGCCACATCAACACTCAAATTTAAATCAAACCAAAAATTAATTAAAACAATTCATCAAAATGGTTAGAAAGGATATTAAGAAAACACATCTACTCTCGGATGTCTCCATCCTTTATATTACTACTTCAAATCGTAACTTTACTAGTCGCTCAATTTTACTTAAAGCATGAAACACCTGGAGCGGATGTTTAAATGTTCAGCCAGGTGCTCGTGGTCTCTCCCAATTTTTTATGAAGTGCCTCTTTCAGCCGCTGAGAGATGTTCCAGTCATGAGAGCTTTCAAAGTCCTGTGACTCAAAACTTTAGATGGCGAGATTGAATTTCATCTTAAGATGCTCATTTATTTTATTTGATTACTTTGTAAAGCATTATTTGTGTTGCGTGCTTTTTTTGACGGGGGTGGGGGGAATGAGGGATGTCAGCACTGTCAGGGTTGTACAAACAACTATGTGACCATCAGGAGTAATAATGATGCATCTTTGGATAAATGTGGAATCTACATGTCCCCAGCATATTTATACTGTAGCTATAATATAAATAAATATACATAATAAATCTTAACATTCAGTTTTGAGCCTGACATGCTGCAGCTAAAATCATTATGAAAAGTACATATTGTAGAAAGCTTGGCGTCTCCTCTGCTTTAGTTAAGGATGTGAGAACAAGAACCAGTTTGGTGATTTTGAGTTTTTTTCCTTGCCTTTATAGTGGCTGAATGACTTGGGTGACAAGTATTGTACTGTACGTGGGTCGAAGGGAAGACAGTTGTAGCATTTCATCATTTTGGGAACAGAAAAATTGCAAATTGTTCAGAATGAGTTTGGGGATTCCATTGGTCTGAACAGTGCAACCTTTGAAATGCCAAGGACTGCATTATATTACAGTATTTGACACAATGATTGAGAATAAAGAATTATGCATTTTCCTTTCAAAACTCTTGCATCTTCAGAGTTTTCTTTTGAAAGCTAAGGTGCTTAGAGATAACCTGTTTCCATCTTCAATGTAGTTCTATAGGGGTATGGGAGGGAGTCAGGAGAGAGTGGAGACTCGCGTGGAGCATCAACTCCAGCACAGACTGTTTCCATGCTGTATGCTCTTTGTAAAATCTTTGTAAGATTCATGTATTTGTGTTCTCCCTTTAGTGTATTTGTATAGTTGGGTAGTATTGTGTAGTAATTTGAGCATAGACTGAAATATTAAATTTTTCCCCTCAACCTCCTTCCTCTTTCTCTCTCCCACCTCCCTACAAAGAGAGCGGAGCTCTTTATCTGTAATTTACATTCTAACTTCATTGAGTGAATTGTTGAATAGTCTCCTCTAACGAGACATGAACAGTTTATAAACTACAGAGCTAATTGCAAAAAATCTCAACCGTTATCTTCCTGCCCCTCCAGCAGTCTTTGCTCCTGATTCCTCGCCAAAACTGTCGATTGAAACATCTGTGAACCTTCCTTTCCATCACTCTTCCGTTCTAATGTTTCAGCTGCTACCGCCGCTTTCTGTGTCTTTTCCCTCTTCCGACTCTAATCTCAATGGTTTGGGGAAAGTACTCCCTTCATTCCTCTGTTTTGTTTACCTCATTGACATATGTTTTGGGGCTTCACTTCTTGAACTTCAATCAGTCTTTCTCCCTCTTATTCCTTCTCCACACCAATGACTCTACCATGTATCATCCTACCCATTCTTGATGATTATTCCTTTCTACATTTGTCAACTCTGAAAGATGCATGCCCTAAGTGCACACAACCTTAATTCTTCGCACCGCGTATTGGATGAATCAACAATTGTATACCCCTTGATGGACAATACAAATCTTGTTCCATTTAGTTCTTTCTCTTGTTCATGCCTTCATCACCTCCAGGCTCGACTATACAAATGCCCTGCTTGTCGGCCTTCCTATCTCCTCCCTCCACAGGCTGCAGATAATCCAGAACTCTGTAGCCTGTGTCCTCTCCCACACCAAACTACGTGACCCCATCTCCCCCCAATTGCGCCCAACTCCATTGGCTCCCTATCCTTCAGAGGATCCATTTCAAGATCCTAGTCCTCACCAACAAAGCCCTCCATGGCCTCGCCCCACCCTACCTCTGCGACCTCCTAACCTCCTACCAACCCGCCCGTTCCCTCCGCTCAGCCGGCTCCGACCTGCTCCACGTCCCCCGACCCACCCGCCCCACCATTGGTGGGAGAGCCTTTAGCCACTCTGCCCCCAATCTCTGGAATTCCATCCCCCAATCACTCCGCCTCACACCCTCCTGAGCCTCCTTCAAGTCCTGCCTCAAGACCTTCCTCTTCGACCATCCCTTCACGCCTCCCCTTTCCCCTCCCCTCCCTTCCCCTCCCACGACCCCAGCTCGGGTCTGAAATGCTGTACTCTGTCCAGCACCTTGGGGACGTCCTCCCGACGTGAAAGGCGCTATACAAATGTAATCTTGTTGTTGTAAATGCACGTTATTCAGATATCGTATAAGCCTAACCTGCTGCTGCCAAAACTTTGCCTTCATTTGCCTCAATTTTAATACATGCCTCACTACCCAATTTGCTCTCAAATCGAATTTTTGCATCAGTATAATAATAATCCTTGCATTTAATATAGCGCCTTATCGCATCATTGAGACATTTCAAAGCGCTTCACAAAATATACTGTGAAGAGAATTGACGCTCAATAAATGGAATCTTGTTGTTGTTGACTGTATATTTTGTGGGCTTATATCCTGTGAAGCACTTTGAGATGTCTTGACTACGAGATTTCATTACATCGAGGCTCGACTATGCAAACTCATTGCTTGTCGGCCTCCCCAACTCCTCCCTCCACAGGCTGCAGATCATCCAGAACTCTGCAGCCCGTGTCCTCTCCCGCACTAGGCTCTGCGACCCTGTCACCCCATCCTTGCCCGACTCCACTGACTTCCCATCAGACAGAGGATACAGTTCAAGATCCTGGTCCTTACCTTCAAAGCCCTCCATGGTCTTGCTCCCCCGTACCTCTGCAATCTCCAAACCTCATGTTGCTCGCTCCCTCCGCTCAGCAGGCTGCGGCCTGCTTCACATCCCCCATCTTGCTCGACCCACTATTGGCGGGCAGGCCTTCTGTCACCCTGCACCCACCCTCTGGAACTCCATTCCGCAGTTCCTCCGCCTTGCCCCTCCCTTGCCACCTTCAAGACCCATCTCAAGACCCTCCTCTTCGACCATGCTTTCGATCTCCCTGCTAAACCACCCTCCCCGACCCCCAGCTCGGATCAGAAACTCTGTTTGTCCAGCACTTTGGGACATCCTCCTGGCAGGAAAGGCTCAATAAAATGTAATTATGTTGTTGTGAGGCATTATATCAAAGGCAAGGATGATTATTATTATTATTATTTCCATTGAAAATGGCTTCTATGATGCTTGTTTCTCACACGTCATTTATTTTCCGCCCAACAGCGCTTATCTCCCTATAAATAAATCTAAGGTTTTTCCAAGAAGATGCACTGCTCCCAAATCTTGAGACTCTTCCGGCTTCTCTGTTACACTCAGGGACAGAATACAAACCTTGTCATCTGATAAGTGGCCTTTCCCTCACTTCTAATCTTCATCCTTTCACTTCATCACAATCATTCCTGTTGTTGATATTGTAATGGTCATTACTCCTGTGAAATTTCCATTTTTAAAAATTTCCATGTACAGTTCCTCTTCTGTTTTGTGAACAAAGTTCATTTCACATCTCTTAGTCAAACTGACACTTTCCCAGCAATCTGAAACCTAAGCTTATTATTTCTTTAACGATCCCTTCCCCCACAGTATAGATGTTTATAAAACCCACGCTTTATGCCACTTTTTAACATTCCTTGCTTTCTATATTATTCAGTCAGGCTTGCCACTGTTAAGCGCTCTGAGACACTACCCTGCATGGAGGGTGCTATATAAGTGCAAGTTGTTATTCTTTTTCCGATTTGAATTATGACTTTAGCCCTTTGCTGACTTAAAAACAAATTCTAATTGGTTACTGTTTTAAATTGATATAAATAACAATTTTGCTTATTGTTGAAATTGTTTTGTTGAATATGAAATGCGGTGGAAGGGGCAAAGCGAATCTTGCAGGACACCACCCCTAAGGTGGAAACGGGAAGTAGAATAGTAGTTCAAATTGGGTTCTAAAACACATTTGATTGTAGGAGACGGAGGTAAGAATTAAAAAATAGTGGCTGTACTGTAAAATACAATGCAGTACAATACAAAATGACATTTGTAACGCACCTTTCACGTCGAGATGACGTTCCCAAGGTGCTGAACTGTTGGGGATTAGGACCTGAGTGAGCGGCGGGGGTGGGGCGTGTTGGGATCAGGGAGGGTGGCTGAAGGCACGGTTGAAGAGGACGGTCTTGTGGTGGGGCGGGCTGGGCGGGGGACATGGCCGGAGCCTGCTCCTGCTCCAAAATGGACCCAATAGGTACAGTAGAACTGAACAAATCACCTTATACAAAACTAATGTGAGCAGTGGTATGATAGGAATGAAATAATCTGAGCAAGTGTAAATGAGGCATCCTACGACCATTTATCACTTTAAAACATGCCCAATTTCTTATTTGGTTCTTATGCCCTATAAACATTTTTTCCTTTTAATTTTAGCAAGTTGAAAAAACTGAGTGAAGACAGCCTCACTAAACAGCCGGAAGAGGTTTTTGATGTGCTGGAAAAACTTGGTGAAGGGTAAGTAGCAATGCAGTAAGAACTTTATAAAGAAACTTCTATTATATCATCCTTCAACACAATGGTGCCTCGCTTGCTCAACTGCAGACCTAGAAGTAACTGGAAGTGCATTAGCCCGATATATGGTGCTAAAATGACCACGTCTGACCACTAACAATGCTTACTAGACACAGGAAACATCACTAATGTCCTTTGAAATGCAATACTGTACTATGTGAAGATCCAGTCCAACCGCTAAACATGTGTGTTGTCCTGGCACTCTTATCTCTTGAGTCAGTAGGTTGTGGAACCCATACGGTCTAGGCTGACACTCCAATGCATTTCTTATGACGTTATTGGTTGCCTTGGAGCAGGTCACCTTCCCTCTTGCCACGTACATTGTGTGTGATGTTACTTGAGTCAGAAAATAAATGGGAAAAATACCTTTTTTGTACGGAGGGGAGAGAAATAATCATTGAAAAACAGAATTACCTTTAGTTTGCTGGATGAACTGAATTGTATGTGCTTTAACACAGCAAATGCATGCAGTTTTATATTTTAATTCACAATTATGAATTGCTGCTCATTTAGCTGTCTGGAATAATTCAACCTAATTGAAAAATGTTTCCAATACTTATAATCTGCAATGGTGGTAAATTTCCGTAACGTTTTTAATCAAAGAGGGTTGTGACCAGAAATCCCTTAAAAAACAAGTACCTTTGTACATTGAAGATGGATGCCAATCTATGGTGAAAAGAGTTTTAATTGAGAAACCTAGTTTGTCAATACTCCTTTTAAATAATTGTTTCAAAATAAGGTTTTAATTTTTTTGTTTCAGATCTTATGGCAGTGTTTTTAAAGCAATCCACAAAGAATCTGGCCAAGTTGTAGCTATTAAACAAGTGCCAGTGGAGTCAGACCTACAGGAAATTATTAAGGAAATTTCAATTATGCAACAATGTGATAGGTATGTGCAATGGAATTATCTTTGCTTTACTCTTTCTGTATCGTAATAATGTGTATTTTTATGGATTCCTTCTGAAACTGATATTGTGATCCTTTGGTTGTGTGGTCTCAGCAACAACAACAACAACAAGATTCCATTTATAGAGCGCCTTTCACGTCGGGAGGACGTCTCAAGGTGCTGTACAGTTGGGTCAGGACCCGAGCAGGGGGGAAATGGTCAGGGTGAGGGGAGGGGAGGGAAGGGAGGGAGCGAGGAGGGGGTAGAGAGTCGAGAGGGGAGCTGAAGGCACGGTCAAAGAGAAAGGTCTTGAGACCGGCCTTGAAGGAGGAAAGGGAGGAAGCGGCGAAGGCACTGGGGGAATGGAGTTCCAGAGCCTCGGGGCTGAGAGGCTGAAGGCCCGGCCACTGATGGTAGGGCGGTTGGGGCGGGGGATGTGGAGCAGACCGGAGCCAGAGGAACGGAGGGTACGGGCAGGTAGGTAGGGGGATAGTAGGTCAGAGAGGTAGGAGGGAGCGAGGCCGTGAATGCCCTTGTAGGTGAGGATGAGGATCTTGAATTCGAACTACACTCTAGAGCAGGGAATCCTCCCACTCAGCTCCTGTTAACTCTGCAAGCTAAAGCCCTAATGGGTAGGGTGGTCTTAAGTGGACAAGCAGCAATAAGGGTTGCCAGACAGTTCTATCAATGACAAACTGCGGTTTTTGCTGGTCAGGCTCCAGCAGTACCCCACTCTGGGCTCCCCAAGCCTTAGCTCTTGCCAACCTGCGCCTAATACTTTCTGGAATTAGGTAAGCAGGATATGTCCCTTCAGGGAGAGAGTGCGCATTCCATTCCAACCATCTATCTCTGGATTTCCATGTGTAGGTCGGATGCATTGAATTTTCAGTTTGGTTTGGATACTCTTTAATCACAGTGATGGGTTTCCAAATGTGTCAGACACTCGTCTGACTCCCCCAAAAAATCAGCAACTACAGTTTAAAGTGTCCACCATTATTTTTAAGTGGTTGTGAGCTGCTGTCTCTGAAGTTAAATAAAATGGGGTTCAGGACTTGTGTGCTTTTAAATGCACAAAACATACTTATAATACATTGGCTACTAATCTTCCAAAGCTGATGCAATGCATGGAACTTCAGCAATGTGTGGCACAGAGTAATTGAATGTGGATTCTTTTCAGAGATTTCTCTCATGTGCTAATACTAATCTCAGTTGTGTTGTTTGGAAAGGTTCTTAGTGGAGGCTGGGCACTTCCCCACAGAAAAGAGAGGAAAATGGGACTGAAAGTCATCTCAACCTGACTTTCTTTCTTACCTTTTAGAATCAGTTTCACAGCAGCATGCATGTTTAACTGGAGGAGGGGGAGTGGAAATGTAAATGAAGAAAATTTATTTTTAAACAATATAAGTGCTTCCAAAAGCTGTTCTCAACAGCTGTGTAGAACAAACTAGGGGAGAAGCACCTGGGGAGAGCAGATCGGTAACAGAAATTCCATTTAAAACCTGGACAAATGGGGAAAGGACTTATTACTTTATGTGAGTAAAATAATAGTGGAACATTAAAAAAAGTTTTGCTGCCCATTCACCTCCACACGCACAGATTTTTTAAATATTGTTCCATGTAATTGGAGTTTGGCAGGATTTTCAACTGGACAGCATCCTTGCTCCTCTTTCTTTCTCTGCCCCCACCCACCCCCCCGCCTCAACACACATGCATCTTTTAAAGCCAGAGTTTTAATTAACGGAAAAAGCGCTTTGGGCAATCGTCTCTGTCAAATGGAGTGCTCTGTGACTGCAGATGTGCTCTGGTGAAAATAATAATAATCCTTGCATTTGATATAGCACCTTATCATGTCGTCAAGATGCCTTAAAGCGCTTCACAGAATAAAGTGAATTGACTGTATATTTTGTGGGTGAAAAATCATTAAATGTTCAGGCAGCTAACGTAATTAATATTTTAAACCTGCATCACATACTTAATACCTACATCAAGTAAGGACCTTAGAGTTCTGCAAAATATAACCATGATTTACTCAAAAGTATTGACTTACATATTGATAATGGTCACTTTTTTTTACTTTTACTTTTTCCTCCCATCTATTTATAGCCACTAATACCATTTATAATGTCCAATCATTAGTGATTTACCTTGTGTTCTACAAAATAAGATCGAACTCTTTCAATAATTGTATGATTTTGTTACCATGTCCAAATAGATACAGTGTACTCCACTGGCAATGTCTGTTTTAAACTAGTTAACAATGATAACTTTGAAAGTTTTGTAGTTCACCAAAGAAAGAGCAGCTGGTTAGTTTACAATTTATATTACTCTCTGGGACTCTGCTGGCTGTCACTCACAAGTTGTATCATGAAACCTTTTGATTCAATTGAAACTTTGGAATTTCTTTAACCATCAGATAAACAATTGCTGAAGTTTGTTGCACAAATAAAAGTTCTGTTATTTTATCAAAATGTATTAAAATACCCCAAGATGATGAGTGTTGTTTTGTTGAAGAGTCTTCAGCAGTTCGATCACATCCTTCGAGAGAACTTTCCTTGTATTCGTCCTGATACAGCGCCAAGCTGGTTCTTAAATGAGTCCAGTGTCCTGGCCTCAACCTTTTCAACTACTTTACATACATTTTCCTTTAACTGGATAAACTCATTTGAAAATAGTTCTTTGCATGTGCATCGTTCCTCAGTTTGCATAACGTCATTTCTCATATTTCTAACAGATGCTGGTGAACATATGAGAAGGGATTTGTATTCCATGTGTTCTCGACCTTTCTCTAAATTACTCCATTCTGGAATGTAGTACTTCACACAAATCCTTTGTCAATAATAACAACAATAATATTAATTAATCTTAATAAGCTTGACCAAGCCATTTGCCAGACAGGATTATTCACTTGACCCACCTGATGATATGCACTGTTACAGGTGCATCCAACTCCTATGAAAAATGGCCAATATCTCCTCTGGGAGGACATAGCAAAGTATCTGCGTGACCTCCTTGAATAGGGTTATGTATGAACTGTGATTAATCCTTAACTTTTTGTTCTACAAACATATGGCTCCCATTCATTAAAAGTATGCAGCCTGGCCTCACCACTGGCCACTTAAATGGATGTGCAGTATAATGATATCCCTAGAGGGAAGAATTATATATTTAAAAAAAACCTATTGTCTGCGGTTACAGGCCAGTAACTTGCTTTGATGACACAGTGTTAGTTCTTAATGTATTTTGTATTTTATGGCACTTACTCTGTTTTACTCTGGCCTGCTCCACGTTCCTTGCCTGGCTCGCTCCACCATTGGCGTCCGTGCCTTCAGCCTTTCTGCCCCCACTCTATGCAACTCCATCCCCTTCGCCTCACTCCCTCCCTTGCCTCCTTAAAGGTGCGTCTCAAAACCTTCCTCTTCCACCGAGCCTTCAGCCACCCTCCTACCTTCCCTGCCCTCCACGCTCTCTGATCCCGACCCCCAGATCGCGTCCAAATCCCTGTCCAGCGCCTTGGAACGTCCTTCCACAGTGAAAAGCACTATGTAATATTGTGTTGTACAGATTTTCTTGAACAATAGATGGGTCCATTTATGTCAAATTTGATGTGTCAAAATTGTCTCCCATGCATAGCCTACTTATTGTGAGATATTCATTGGTTTATATATCATTTTAATGCTTGTTAATGTGAAATCTACTGCTTACTTATTTAGGGTCTTCAAACAAAGAATGTTCTCCAAGTTGTCCTTGCAAATGTAAAATGTTCAATCTCAAAACTGTACTTACTTAAACTTGCATGGTAATAAATATCAGACGCTTGTAACAAGAAAGATATTGCATTTTATAGAACCTCTTTTCAAAATATTTTTAAGTGCCTAAACAAGCAATACAGTCAAGTAAGTTGACCGTTTTTGTAGGCAAATGTAGCAGCCATTTTGTGCCCATTGTGCCCAAACGTATTAAGAGTTGGTACAAAACATGAGTAAACACCTTCAAGCTCTAACCAACAACAAATTAAAGAAAAAACAAGTGGTGAATTGCAAGTCTTGGGCATTATGTTATGCACAGGGATAAAATAGAGGTAGATTTTTTTTTCAACGCTTCCTTATCCATTCTTTTGCACCTCTTTGTGCCCAGTTGTCTGAACAGCAAATGCTTGCACGCAAATGCCTGACTTCCTCAGCCAGAGATAGTGTATTAAATGTCAATTTGCAGTTTGCACAAGTAGATTTGTTGTATATTTTGTTGATCTCAAGGTATATTCATATGAACACGTTTGCAACTTTAGGAATTTCAATACTTTAACGTAATGAACTTTTTCTGCACCTCAGATGTTTGTTTTTAATATGGTTTCATTTTTATTTTCTAGTGCTTATGTAGTGAATTACTATGGCAGCTATTTTAAAAATACAGATCTGTGGATAGTTATGGAATACTGTGGAGCTGGCTCCGTGTCTGATATTATCCGTCTACGAAACAAAACGGTAAGTGTATTAGATATCTAACTCTCAGCATACAATGCAATATACATTTATACAGTGCCGTTCACATCAGGAGGACATCTCAAACCGCTTTACCCAGCTGGCTGGGCAGCCAAGCTGGGCGGAAGGAGGCTGGAGTGGATGTGGGTGGGGGGGAAGGATAAATGACCGACCTTCGCCCTCCCTGAGGTAAGGCTTAAGGGGGTCTTTAAAAATGGATGGGGCAAATCACACCGATGTTGTTGTAATTCTGACCCTGGTCTCTGGAAAGTCACAACAACTTGCATTTATATAGTGTCCTTCACGTGGGCAGTCAGAGCACTTAAATTACAAGGGACGGACATGTCTAATGCTGTAAATCAGTACAAGGGCTGTTTTCCTTGTCAATATCAAAAAGAGAGTAGGCATTACCGAATAATAGTAATGGACACTAAACGTTGGTTTGCGCTCTTTTGTTAATGGTGTATTAAATCATGTTTTTTCTTAGCTGGTGTAATAAATCCTTCGAGGTGTGTTTCAATTTCTTAAAATTTAGGCACACCACAAGATATACAATCTGCTTGGGCAGTTACTTTTTTGTGGAGAATAATTTGAATTTTTAAGGATGTACTCATTTATCCTTCATCCGAAAACAGATTTGACTCTTGCAGAATGTGAGGGAAGTCATTCAATATTGCATTGCCCTCTTCTGGTCAATATTTGGCATAGCATGTCAATGCAGCAAAATACTGCAATATTTTTTTGGGAAAGATTTTATAATAATATGTTTGTTATACAGTAACACCTTTCACGTCAGGAGTCTCAAATTTCTTCAGAAGATGTATAGTAAAGGGTAATAATTGTGTATTTTGTACACAAACACAGCAGCACAGTAATGTCCAACAAACATTTGAGCACAGCTATGTCTGACAAACAGTCATGAAGTGAATGAGCAATTTTTATTTGGGGGATTTTTGGCCAGGACACCCGGAGAAACTCCCTTCTCTTTTCTAATAGTGTAATGGGATCTTTAATGTCCGCATGAACAAGCAGACATTTTACACAGAATATATTGTAAAGTGAATTGACTGTATATTTGTGGGTGAAATGTGGCAACCAATTGCGCACAGCTGTGTCCCACAAACAGTCGTGGATTGAAGTGCCCCCTTTTTTTTATTATCGTTTTTTTTCTTGAGGGATTATTATCAGGCATGTGGAGTAAGGAAACTTGTCCCAGGTTTCGCCCTGCCAGGAATCAAATCCAGGTCTCTCCCTTGCGAGGCGAGTGCTCTAACCACTGAGCTATAGGACTCCACAATAATGGCACCTCTGACAATACAGCACACCTCCAACACTCCAAATCCTGCTTTGGAGTGTCAACTTAGAGTCCTAGACCATATAAGTTCAAAGTCCCGAGGTGGGGCTTGAACTTGTCTTACTTGTCAATAACATTCTGACTCCAAAGCCAGTGCTAATATACAATGCATTTCTATTGCTTTTTAATTTAAAAATTACTTGCAGGAATGTACATTTTATTAATACAAAAGAACTTTTATCCCAGTGTAATACTTTGATTTGAAAAAAAATATTGTTTCCGTGCATTTTCTTTAACAGGCTTAAAGCTGCGAGTGCTGATAATATCGCATAGGCACTGGCTTTGGAGGAATTGTGGTGAGCCTGACTGGATCAGGGAGTTGAAGAATTGCCATCAATAGAGATAGTATCGTGTAGCCATTCATGCTTCAGCTTCAACTATGCCTATTAATTTGGGTCCCTTACACAATCTGGCTCAGCAACGCGTCCAAAATTCTTTTCACTTTCGTTTTATAAAATGGAATATCCTCTAATTTTCAAAAAATTCTAATGCAACACATCTGGATAGCAGTGCATTATAAAGCGACTATTGTGTACTGTTCAATGGAACAACACAGGCTTGTGGCCAATGATCCCCATACAGTTAGCCTCCAGTCTCAGCTGTACTATAAAAGTGGGAAACTACTATACTATACATTAAATACAGTCTCAGCTGTACTATAAAAGTAAGAGACTGGGCGATTCAGAAGTTGATTTTTAAAGCGTTCCTTTTAAGAATCCAATGCCTTGTTTGACATTTGCAGGGATGAATACACAATTTGGGAATTGCAAGATCAACTATTGGCTTTCTAAATCTTCATCTCTTGTGTTGGAAAATGTGGTGGGCAGCAGGAATACTTGTCAATAACAGTGTATTGACAGTTTCCTAGTAGTAAAAACACAATCACATTTAAGCCAAACTTAAGTCGGTCAAATTATTTTGCAATGCTAACACTGAAATTCTATGTGTTTGAATTTGCATAATTTTTGAATGACCTCGCTCTGCAACCTTAAAATACATTGGGTTCATGCTAAAATGACTTTTCATTAATATCAAAACCTCTCGTTCCTCACATGGACATTCAGATTGACAACGGAACATTTCTATGCTCTCTTGTCCCACCCTACTCTGCAACCTACTCCAACCCCACTCTCTTTGCCTTCTACCTCTTTCCACAAAGTCAGGCGTGTTGCACCTCACCTGCCCCCTTTGCTCCACTGTGAGTTGCTGAACTTTCAGTTGCTATACCTTTATTCACTGAACTCTCAAAATCTCGCTGCTTCTCACTCTCCCAGTCTGCTTCAAAAACCCTTCTAAAACCACCCTTTTCAACCATGCTTTCAGTTACCTTGCTCCTACCTCCTCCCCTGATTTCCATCTTGTTCAGGTTTCCACCAAGTCTCTGAAGTGCTTCAAGATGTTTTCCTACTTGAACGGCACTGTATAAGTACAAGTTGTTGTCATCAAAAAGTGACATGAAAATTTGTTTCAGCAACTGGCTTCTTTGTGTCATATGTTTGGATACAAGCAAAACAATTAATTGAAGATGGTGACACTTTATAGGCCATTTTGTGTAACAAATTACTTACTGATAAGATGTAGATTAATATAAGCTATAGATTAATAAAGAACTGAAAGTAGATAAACCTCCCCTGTACAGAAAGGGGATCTTGAGTGAGAAGTCATTGAATCTTGTAGAGTTCGGTACAACAACAAAATTAAATTTATAGAGTGAGTGCCTTTCACATCGGGAGGACGTCCCAAGGTGCTGAACAGTCGGGTCAGGACCCGAGCATGGGGGAGAGGTGGGGTAAGGGGAGGGAAGGCAGAGCGATGGGAGGGCAACCAAAGGCACGATCGAAGAGGAGGGTCTTGAGACCAGCCTTGAAGGAGGCAAGGGAGGAAGCGAGGCGAAGGGAATGTGGTATGGAGTTCCAGAGTGTGGGGGCAGAGATGGTAGGTGGGTCGGGCAGGACATGGAGCAGGCGGGAGCCCGCTCAACGGAGGGAGCGGGCAGGTTGGTAGGGAGTCAGCAGGTCAGAGAGGAAGGAGGGGGCAAGGCCATGGATGACCTTGAAAGTGAGGACGAAGATCTTGAATTTGATTCTCTGAGGGATGGGGAGCCAGGGGAGTCGGAGCCTGGTGCGCGAGAGTACACGAGCTACGGAGTTTTAGATGATCTGCAGCTTGCGAAGGGAAGAATTGGGAAGGCCGATGAGGAAGGTATTTCCATAATCGAGCCTTGAGGTGATGAATGTGTGGGTGAGGGTTTCAGCAGCCTGAGGGCTGAGGCAGTGGCGGAGTCTGGCAATGTTGCGGAAGTGGTGGTAGACAGTGCTGGTCATGGCGAGGATGTGGGGGAGAAAGGAAAGTTCAGGGACAAACAAGACATCCAGATTCCTGACTGGCTTAGTGAGGTTGAGTGTACAGCTGTGGATGCTGATGCTGCCAGTGCCCGAGGTGCGGAGGCGCTGGCACGAGCCAATCAGGAGGGCCTCAGTGTACTAATCCAGATGTTCAGTTTTGGAGGGTAAGGTAACAAACCATTTACTGATCCTTGAAAAGAAAATATCATATGCGTAATATTGCAAAGAATAATTCCTTTCAACTCAACCAGTACAAAATGTGTTTCCCTTCTTAAAAGTCATGAGATATTCATTATCAATTTGGATTATAAAAATTTGGCAACGGATTGGTTTCAGTAAACACTGAATTGTTTAACAGTGAATCCTCACGAACAGAATTAATTTTAAGCTTATTTTCTTTTTATGTTTAGTGTTGCTGATTATTTTGAGTGAATAGATAATTCAAAAGATAGGACTTCAAGATACTATTTTGCTGTGTAATTATTTCAGTGTGTTTAAGACTGTGTGGGTAATTTATAATCAGTAAATCAATTCTTTGTCCACACTTGGTGGAAACTGAGAAATGTAAGGAAGGCTGGGCTCCACATGAATCCATTTTGGTTGCTGAACCCTTATTGAATTAAGGGGTTATTCATTGCAGGTTTACCTGAGGCTATGTTTGTCAGCCTGGTACATATAGGTCATAATTTAAAAGATGTCGTTCGTATTGTAATTCACTTGATGTAATTAGGGAACTTGTCACCAATTTGTCCAGGAGAGTAAGTTGATTGTTGTTAATCGCATTATCCCACGGTGTGTTTCACAAGGTTTGTGTGGTGTGTGTTTTGAAATGTGACATTGATCAAATGCTTTTAAATGTGTGTGGTTAACCGCAGATTTAATATGTCCAGTTTGTCAAAATTTGAAACGCTATATTTTTAGTTGCCTATGATTTTAGAAGTGTAGTGTTTATACAGGAATCATTTCTGTTTTCAATGGATGAAAGCTTATTGATGGTGGACTCGGGTACTTTTAATTTTATACTCACCCTTCTTTGTATAAGAGTTTCATAATGTTTATGTTTGGAGCTTGACCTGAAATTATTTCTTGTTGTCTTATTGTAACAATATTCAATGTAGCCTGTAAAATGTTGGATTCTCCATGAGAACATTATGATGGTGGAGTTTGTACTTTTGGTGAATAACTATTTTACTTGTTGAATAACTTGGTTGGAGAGGCTTAAACTCATTCCTATAGGATTCCAGTCACAATCATAGAGAGGAAAGGTTCGTCCCATTTATTTCAGCTGAATTAAATATCTAAAT